TTGGATTTGCCCCAAACGTAACAATTTGTATTCAGGACACAAAGTAAAGTGCTTTACACATTTTTTTTTAAGTGTCACTTTAGTGCCTTGTTGCAAACAGGATGCATGGTTTGGAATATTTTTATTCTATACAAGCTTCCTCCTTTTCACTCGGTCAATTAGGTTCGTATTGTGGAGTAACTCTAATGTTGTTGATCCATCCTCAGTTTTCTCCTATTACAGCCAGTAATATTTGGACTCTTGGTGAAATCCCTGAGCGGTTTCCTTCCTCTCCGGCAACTGATTTAGGAAGGACTCCTGTATCTTTGTAGTGACTGGGTGTATTGATACAACATCCAAAGTGTAATTCACTTCACCATGCTCAAAGGGATATTCAATGTCTGCTTTTTTTCTTTCTTTTTTTTCCACCCATCTACCAATAGGTGACCTTATTTGTAAGGCATTGGAAAACCTCCCTGGTCTTTGTGGTTGAATCTGTTTGAATGTCACTGCTCGACTGAGGGACCTTACAGATAATTGTGTGTGTGGGGTAGAGAGATGAGGTAGTCATTCAAAAATCATGTTAAACACTTATTGCACACAGAGTCCATGCAACGTGTGAGACTTGTTAAGCACATTTTTACTCCTGAACTTATTTAGGCTTGCCATAACAAATGGGTTGAACACTTATTGACTGAAGACATTTCAGCTTTAAAAAAAAAAATAATAATAATAATAATTCCACTTTGACATTATGGGGCATTGTATGTATTCCAGTGACCAAAACATCTAAATGTAATCGATTTTAAATTCTGTCTGTAAAAAGTCAAGGGGTGTGAATACTTTTTGAAGACACTATCATGGTATTCAATACTCAATTGGTATATGATAGCAGGCACTTAAATATAGAATTTTACAATGTATGCTACCCATTCTTTGCCTCCCTGTATGTCCTGCTCTTCCTTCTCCCTGTCAGGTGGAGTTTCCTGAAGCGCGCATCTTTGAGGAGACCCTCAACATCCTCATCTATGAGAATGGGCGTGGTTCTGGCCCGGGAGGCGTGGCCCTTTTGGAGTCATCATCGCCGGGGGCCAGCCAATCCGAGGAGGAGGGGGCCAGCGCAGGGGACCGAAGGGTGAGGAGGATCCACGTGAGGAGGCACATCATGCACGACGAGCGAGGACACGGCCAACAGACTGTGTATAAGGACTGAGAAAAAATAATTAACTGTGGGGGTAAGAGAGGATGAAGAGAGGGAGATAGCGGCAGGGTAAAGATACAGGTTGTTTGGCGGCGGGGTGTTTGCATGGAGAGGTTAGGGTTGATGTTTAGTAGGGGGGGTGGGACAGGTTCTTATATAAGGAAGGAGGTGTGGGACTTCGGAGATGCTCATTACCAAGGACTGCTATATATATATATATATATATATATATATATATATATATATATATATATATATATATATAGCAGTCCTTGGTAATACTTTTTTTTGCATGATCGGAAAACAAAGGTGGGACTATTACACTAATCAACGTGCACACGTTGGGGAGAAGGGTAGGGAGAATTGGACCACAGCATAGGTCTGCAAATACCTAAGGGCTAGTTGGGGCTTTCTCCCGACCAGGCTTGGGTGGTGGTAATGTGACTGGAAGATGGAGGTTCAACTAAGGTACTTTAACTCTGCACTAAAAGGGAAATGGGAGGGTGGAGTGGGGTGGTGATAGTAGGTTAGAGGAAACGTGACTGCTGAGCATCTGCTGGATGTTTATTCCTTTTGAATTGATTACTGTTGTATTTGTCTCTGTATTTATTATTTATTATTTTATGTTAATTTTACCCTTTTTTATATAACTTTAAATACATTATTTATTATTTATTCTGTATAGATGTCGGTGGGGATTGTGTGAGTGTTGAGGTGCTGATCTGATATGATGTCTTGACCAGTTTACGCACTGATCGCTTTCTGAACCGACACTTGATGCCATGCTCATCCAATATGTTGAGGCAATGTCACGAATGGCCATGTCATGTTTAACGGCCATGTGAGTTCATGTTGACACATTGACGTGCTAAACCATTTTTTAATATTTTTGTCCATGATGCTACCGTGCCTAATTGAAACAGGATTTCATGTTGGGTCTGATGTTGAAATCAGGCTTTATGTGGCTCTCTAAAAATCATTTTGATTAAGTCTTTGTATTCAATTTGGTACATACAGTGAGGGAAAAAAGTATTTGATCCCCTGCTGATTTTGTACGTTTGCCCACTGACAAAGACATGATCAGTCTATAATTTTAATGGTAGGTTTATTTGAACAGTGAGAGACAGAATAACAACAACAAAACCCAGAAAAACGCATGTCAGAAATGTTATAAATTGATTTGCATTTTAATGAGGGAAATATGTATTTGACCCCTCTGCAAAACATGACTTAGTACTTGGTGGCAAAACCCTTGTTGGCAATCACAGAGGTCAGATGTTTCTTGTAGTTGGCCACCAGGTTTGCACACATCTCAGGAGGGATTTTGTTCCACTCCTCTTTGCAGATCTTCTCCAAGTCATTAAGGTTTCGAGCCTGACGTTTGGCAACTCGAACCTTCAGCTCCCTCCACATATTTTCTATGGGATTAAGGTCTGGAGACTGGCTAGGCCACTCCAGGACCTTAATGTGCTTCTTCTTGAGCCACTCCTTTGTTGCCTTGGCCGTGTGTTTTGGGTCATTGTCATGCTGGAATACCCATCCACGACCCATTTTCAATGCCCTGGCTGAGGGAAGGAGCTTCTCACCAAAGATTTGACGGTACATGGCCCCGTCCATCGTCCCTTCGATGCGGTGAAGTTGTCCTGTCCCCTTAGCAGAAAAACACCCCCAAAGCGTAATGTTTCCACCTCCATGTTTGACGGTGGGGATGGTGTTCTTGGGGTCATAGGCAGCATTCCTCCTCCTCCAAACACGGCGAGTTGAGTTGATGCCAAAGAGCTCGATTTTGGTCTAATCTGACCACAACACTTTCACCCAGTTCTCCTCTGAATCATTCAGATATTCATTGCAAACTTCAGACAGGCCTGTATATGTGCTTTCTTGAGCAGGTGGACCTTGCGGGCGCTGCAGGATTTCAGTCCTTCACGGCGTAGTGTGTTACCAATTGTTTTCTTGGTGACTATGGTCCCAGCTGCCTTGAGATCATTGACAAGATCCTCCCGTGTAGTTCTGGGCTGATTCCTCACCGTTCTCATGATCATTGCAACTCCACGAGGTGAGATCTTGCATGGAGCCCCAGGCCGAGGGAGATTGACAGTTATTTTGTGTTTCTTTCATTTGAGAATAATCGCACCAACTGTTGTCACCTTCTCACCAAGCTGCTTGGCGATGGTCTTGTAGCCCATTCCAGCCTTGTGTAGGTCTACAATCTTGGAGAGCTCTTTGGTCTTGGCCATGGTGGAGAGTTTGGAATCTGATTGATTGATTGCTTCTGTGGACAGGTGTCTTTTTATACAGGTAACAAGCTGAGATTAGGAGCACTCCCTTTAAGAGTGTGCTCCTAATCTCAGCACGTTACCTGTATAAAAGACACCTGGCAGCCAGAAATCTTTCTGATTTGAGAGGGGGTCAAATACTTATTTCCCTAATTAAAAATTAATTAATTAAAATGCAAATCAATTTATAATATTTTTGACATGTGTTTTTCTGGATTTTTTTGTTGTTATTCTGTCTCTCACTGTTCAAATAAACCTACCATTAAAATTACAGACTGATCATTTCTTTGTCAGTGGGCAAACGTACAAAATCAGCAGGGGATCAAATACTTTTTTCCCTCACTGTACTCCTTTGTCACAGCAAAGTCTGATCACAAAAAGGGAAGGCAATTTTTTTTCCCAGGTGAAATGTAATAAGTGATCTGAACATGGGAAGTGTTTATGTCCCAATGGTTATTATTGGACACTTGTTAACCCATAGAAGCAAGTAATCTGGCAGGTAAATTTTATATCCTAATCCTATAAAAGAAATGCTTGGGGCAGTCCTGGAATAAAACACATTTGCAAATAATGTTTTTTAATCCAGAACTAGGGGCTTAATCTGTGTCTAGGTAACGTCACATAATGTCTGCCAAGATGTGCAAACCATATTTTTCCGTCAAATGTTCTTTATGATATTGTGTAACTGTCTGGGGTTTAGATATTTTATGGACCATCAACATTCTCAATAAAAGTCTAAAACCTGCATCTTGGTGTTTTGTGTGTTGGATTGAGTGGAAAATCCCACTCTTCCTGTCCTCTTAATCTTCTCGAATGGACAGAGGAATTTGCTTTCACCTTTCCAATTTATTTTCAATTAATGCAGGTGAATGACGAAGGCCACGTTACACTATTGAGATGCACCTCTAGGTAACTGTGGTAGAGCCAAACATACGGTTTACACTAGATAACATAGCCACAAAGTCAATTGGCTAGGCCTATTGTAAAAATTAATGAAAACAAAAATTAGCTTTTTGGTCTTAATTTAAGGTTAGCAGTGTGGTTAATTTTAGGTCACTGCTTGACTTGGACTGAAATAGTTGCAGGTACTCATTTTGGGTGACTACACTGTTTACATTTAGGTGAAGGAGCTCCACAATACTTTCCCTAAGATTCTATAATAGGAACAGAAGGTCAAGCAGTAGAAATGTTAAGGTGCCGGTACTCTGCTCCTATGAGCTCCTGCCTAAATCATGCACTGGGTTAAGTTTAAAATCAAATTTTAAGAAAAATGGTAGAGATATGCGGGGTTTAGCCATACTTGTGGCTGTGTTAAATAGTGACGAACCTAACATAGCAGGCGTAAAATAAAGAAAACAAACGAGCTCCGACTGGGAAAAATCTTTTCAACGGTCATCCAACTCGGAATTCCAGAGCTCCAACCTGAAGATCACTGACGTCATGATTTGACCTCGATTTTTTGCGACTTCCCAGTTCTCTTGAAAGCCACATGACGACACAAACATACCAAGTTCACTTAGCGTCATTACGTTTACGCAATGTCGTGCCAAACATGAAGGAGGGGGAAAAAAGCAAGCGGCAAAATGTTGTCAGCGGAAGAAATACAGATTCGGAGGTTCGTTTCTGGACAACTCCGTGATTGTCCTGACCTGAGGTAAAGTCCCTTTTGCAGTTTCTTTAAACGAAATCAAACCATGCATGGAAGTTCCTGCTAGCTTATGGCAAAGTTGTAACATACCATAACCGCTCGTGCGTGGTTGTTGGCTTGCATGTGCCCTAGTATGTCGACGATGAGTATGCCGCGTCTCCTCTCGAGCTGTCTCCCTAAACCATCTAAAGTTGCACTTGAAAACGCTCATTAATTACGGACTGCCTCAGACCACTCGTAGAACAGCCAATGCCTCGTTCACAACACCCATAAGCACTTCGTTTAGTGATGCAGTTCGCGAACGATTCGTTATTTTAGAACGACACTTTTTACTGACTCGAGTCATGATTCGTTTTTTGAATTTTATTTTACATTTTATTTAACTAGGCAAGGCAGTTAAGAACAAATTGTTATTTACAATGACGGCCTACACCGGCCAAACCCGGACGACGCTGGGCCAATTGTGCGCCGCCCTATGGGACTCCCAATCACGGCCGGTTGTGATACAGCCTGGAATCGAACCAGGGGGTCTGTAGTGACGCCTCAAGCACTGAGATGCAGTGACCGCTGCGCCACTCGGGAGCCCAAGTGACTCGTTCATAAAAGGCGATGCATGGTCAATCAGACCGAGGTCTGTATTGGCCATGCAGCATTTACGGTGATATGGCATCTGCAGAAGTCATAGCATTCATACTATGCAGAGACAGTGTTGCCAACTCCTCAGTAAGGAAAGCTATTGGCTGTCCTAAAAGTCGCTAAATGACGTCATCACCTAATTTGCATTGGCAATGTGCATGTAATTGTGATTGATACTGTAGGAGAGAGCAATAACGTTGTAAAAAACACCCTAAATATGTTTAGAACTACAAATGAACTTTCTTCTGTCGATTCTTGTTATTTTTTTGTCACAATTCCAACCCTCCTCCTTTATCCGGGCTTGGGACCAGCAAAAGTGACCCAAAAGAGAGACTCTGGCCAAGTGAGTTTTTTTTTTTTTTTTGGTTTTTAACCTTATGGTCCACTTAGGAGCCTACAACAAGTCACAGTAAAACATGAACATTTTTAACCATAACATTTTAAACATTTTTTTTATACAATCTACATTTAACAATCTAAATGGACCAAAAAGAGACAATAGAAAAAACTGCCAATGGCAATGTGAGAAAATGATGGTAACTAGTCTGGCTCACAGAATGAGTGGGTCATCGTAATTTTGGTCAAGGCTATCTATGGCAGGTTCAGCAACTGAAGGAGCTGACTTAAATGAGTAAGCAGCTGATGTGCCAAAAAGCTGCAAAACATTATCAGGCAGCTGGTGCTCATAGCGAGCCTCAACAGACAGCTTCACTCCATATCGAATGTACAGGATGGAGTTAAGGGTCTGCAAGGACATCCGATTTCTAAGTTTGCTTTTTACCACACTCATCTGGCTGAAAACTCTCTCGACTTCAGCATTCGAGTGTGGCAAGGACAACACAGACACAGCAGCTATGGCAAGTAATTGAAACAGGTTGACATCAGCTGCATCCCTGAACTTCCAAATCTCATTCCAGAAGCCCAGTGTGTTTTTTGTCTCATTCCAATTACTAAGATTCTCCGCTATGCAATCGGGTTTCTGAGCTGGTCATGGGTGTATCTCAGCCACACTCAAGGTCCTAAACGATATAATAACCGTGATCGATAAAAGACAGTACTGTGCAGCCGTCTTCATTGACCTGGCCAAGGCTTTTGACTCTGTCAATCACTGTATTCTTATTGGCAGACTAAATAGCCTTGGTTTCTCAAATGACTGCCTCGCCTGGTTCACCAACTACTTTTCAGATAAAGTTCAATGTGTCAAATCGGAGGGCCTGTTGTCTGGACCTATGGCATTCTCTATGGGGGTGCCACAGGGTTCAATTCTCGGGACGACTATTCTCTGTGTATATCAATGATGTCGCTCTTGCTGCTGGTGACTCTCAGATCCACCTCTACGCAGACGACACCATTTTGTATACATCTGGCCCTTCATTGGACACTGTGTTAACAAACCTCCAAACGAGCTTCAATGCCATACAACATTCCTTCCGTGGCCTCCAACTGCTCTTAAACACTAGTAAAACTAAATGCATGCTCTTCAATCGAACGCTGCTTGCACCCGCCTGCCCGACTAGAATCACTACTCTCGGCGGGTCTGACTTAGAATATGTGGACAACTACAAATACCTAGGTGTCTGGTTAGACCGTAAATTCTCCTTCCAGACTCGCATTAAGCATCTCCAATCCAAAGTTAAATCTAGAATCGGCTTCCTGTTTCGCAACAAAGCCTCCTTCACTCATGCTGCTAAAAATGCCCTCGTAAAACTGACTATCCTACCGATCCTTGACTTCGGTGATGTCATTTACAAAATAGCTTCCAACACTCAACTCAGCAAATTGGATGTAGTCTATCACAGTGCCATCTGTTTTGTCATCAACGCCCCATATACTACCCACCATTGTGACCTGTATGCTCTCGTTGGCTGGCCCTCACTACATATTCGTCGCCAAACCCACTGGCTCCAGGCCATCTATAAATCACTGCTAGGCAAATCTCCGCCTTATCTTAGATCATTGGTCACCATAGCAACACCCACTCGTAGTATGCGTTCCAGCAGGTATATCTCACTGGTCATCCCCAAAGCCAACACCTCCTTTGGTCGCCATTCCTTCCAGTTCTCTGCTGCAAATGACTGGAACGAACTGCAAAAATCTCTGAAGCTGGAGACACTTATCTCCCTCACTATCTTTAAGCATCAGTTGTCAGAGCAGCTTACCAATCACTACACCTGTACACAGCCCATCTGTAATTAGCCCACCCAACTACCTCATCCCCATATTGTTATTTACATTATTTATTTTGCTCATTTGCACCCCAGTATCTCTATTTGCACATCTTCTGCACATCTATTACTCCAGTGTTAATACTACATTTTAATTGTAATTATTTTGCACTATGGCCTATTTATTGCCTTACCTCCATAACTTACTACATTTGCACACACTGTATATATATTTTCTATTGTGTTATTGACTGTGCGTTTTGTTTATTCCATATGTAACTCTGTTGTTTTTTTTTCCGCACTGCTTTGCTTTATCTTGGCCAGGTCGCAGTTGTAAATGAGAACTTGTTCTCAACTGTCTTACCTGGTTAAATAAAGGTGAAGAAGAAAAAAAGATGGATGGCACGCCATTGCTGGACAATCTTCTCTATCTCTACAGGGGAGTAGCCAAGGAGCTTGGCAATTTTTTCTATTTCTCCAGGGCTCTTATTGTGCTTTAGAGTTTCCTCCACATTGAAAACTGACATGTACTGCAATGGTTCGATGTTGTCTGGCAATCTCACCCTCAACTCATTAGTGAGGGAGATGGTGAAGGCTACACACCGCTTTCGGACATTGTTTTCATCCTCAGGCGCAAGGTGGAGCTCAGCTGCCTTTGACTCAAAAAGGTAACCAAGGTACGGTTTGGGACTGATGTATCCATCTATTGGCCCTTTGAGTACATCAACATTTGCCATTGGATTCAGCACCCTGCTGCTCACAGACTTGATCAGGCTAACCAAGCTGTCAAGTAGCTTAAGAGGATCTACTTGCTCTCCCTTAAAAGCCTTGATGGCCAACTGTACCTCACCCAGCACTGACTTCAAAAAAGTCAGATACAATATGTTTTGAGGATCATTGTACATGGAGTATAAAACCTCAGCCATGTAGCAGTGTTCACTGGACTTGGTGACCATGAAATGCAGCCTAAGCTCCTCCCACTGGTCCAAAATGTGTGAAACCGTGGGTTCAATGGAGAGCCAACGTGTGGCACACACCTTGGTTATCTGTAAAGGTTTCTCCTCACAGTTGATGGTCTCATATATGACCTTGTAGGCCTCCCTGCGCTTTGGAGACACTGAAATCCAGTTATTAGTCTCTCGTACCAAGTACTCCACACTACGGGGGATGGTGTCATTGGAAGCATGACTTACAGCAAGCTGCAGAGAGTGGCACACACAGCGAATAAGAACCAGATCTTTGAGGCCATACTCCTCCTTCAGCACTTTATGGACCCCATTGTTAATCCCCGTCATAAGAGGCATTGTCAGTCCATATCCCCAGGAGTTTCTCTTTTTTAAGACAACACTTCTCGAGGAAAGCCACAACAGCACAGGCTATAGATTTGGCATCTCCTTCCTCCAACTCAACAAGCCCCAGAAATGTTGATACAATTGTCTGCTTAGTGTCACTAAAGTACCTTTTCACAACCCCCAGGTACTTAGAAACACATGCATCCGTTGACTCATCGAGGAGGAGGCTGAAACGCTGATCACCCACATCTGCGACCAACCTTTTCAGAAAGTATGGTGCTAGAACACCATTAATCATTTCTGTGCACTTTGTCCTGTGCATTTTGAAGTGGGTAGCAGCAGTGGAGTCTGAGAAAGCAGCTCTACATGCTTCTCCAATGTGATCACATGCCAGCATGGAACAGTGTTCAGCGATAGCTAATGCCATGGTGGCCTCAGCCTTTTTTGCAGAGTCAATTTTTTTAACCATAAATGGCAGCTTGTTTTGGGTGGAACTGTTATAAGGCTTTGCCTTTTGAGTATGTTTTTGAGTTGTTCACTAAGTTTGGCGTAGAAATCAGCCGTACAATACAGGCAGTATGCCCGTGTATCAACTCCAATAAATGGCTTCAACCAGCCTTTGAATTCAGGATTTGATTCCCACTCCTTTCTGTATTTTTGAGTGTACAGTTTAGACTGAGACATGATGAGCTAGCCAGCTACAGTCGTGGTCAAAAGTTGAATGACACAAATACTAATTTTCACAAAGTCTGCTGCCTCAGTTTTGATTATGGCAATTTGCATATACTCCAGAATGTCATGAAGAGTGATCAGATTAATTGCAAAGTCCCTCTTTGCCATGAAAATTAACTTAATCCCCCAAAAACATTTCCACTGCATTTCAGCCCTGCCACAAAAGGACCAGCTGCCATCATGTCAGTGATTCTCTCGTTAACACAGGTGAGAGTGTTGACGAGGACAAGGCTGGAGATCACTCTGTCATGCTGATTGAGTTAGAATAACAGACTGGAAGCTTTAAAAGGAGGGTGGTGCTTGAAATCATTGTTCTTCCTCTGTTAACCATGGTTACCTGCAAGGAAACACGTGCCGTCATCATTGCTTTGCACAAAAAGGGCTTCACAGGCAAGGATATTGCTGCTAGTAAGATTGCACCTAAATCAACCATTTATCGGATTATCAAGAACTTCAAGGAGAGGGGTTCAATTGTTGTGAAAAAGGCATCAGGGCGCCCAAGAAAGTCCAGCAAGCGCCAGGACCGTCGGGGATCGGGGCACCACCAGTGCAGAGCTTGCTCAGGAATGGCAGCAGGCAGGTGTGAGTGCATCTGCACGCACAGTGAGGCGAAGACTTTTGGAGGATGGCCTGGTGTCAAGAAGGGCAGCAAAGAAGCCACTTCTCTCCAGGAAAAACATCAGGGACAGACTGATATTCTGCAAAAGGTACAGGGATTGGACTGCTGAGGACTGGGGTAAAGTCATTTTCTCTGATGAATCCCCTTTCCGATTGTTTGGGGCATCCGGAAAACACACTCTACCCAGCACACTCTCCACCAGTTTTGATATCTCAAATGTATTCTTCAAGATTGGTAATTCGATCAGCTGCTCCTCATTTACAAACCGTACTCCTACAAGATACAAAGTGACATTCTTATCATGGTACTCTACTTTTCTCCTTTTTCCTTTCTTTTTTACAATATTCAAATTCTCCTTGATTCTACCGCCATTCGATTCAGAATCCACTTCATCCGCTTCCGCCATCTTTTTCCGTCCGACATTTTACACATGAAAAACTTGTCCGGCCAAGTTTCCCTGAAACTAGATCTTCCCGTTATGAAGGACCTCCCGCCCCCACCTACCGTCAACCAATCATGTCAAATGCGGAGCTATATGGAGGCCTCCGCATTGTTACAAAATTTGGGAGGCGCATGTCGATGCGGTACGGTGCTCAATTTGGCCTCTGGACGTTCCACAATTGCGTCACACCCTCCATATGGAGCCTGCAACCACATTTCAGCTCAAGTATGACTCCCGAGTGGCGCAGTGGTCTAAGGCACTGCATCGCAGTGCTAGCTGTGCCACTAGAGATCCTGGTTCGAATCCAGGCTCTGTCATAGCCGGCCGTGACAGGGAGACCCATGGGGCGGCGCACAATTGGCCCAGCGTCGTCCAGGGTAGGGGAGGGAATGGCCGGCAGGGATGTAGCTCAGTTGGTAGAGCATGGCGTTTGCAACGCCAGGGTTGTGGGTTCGATTAAAAAAAAAAAAAAAAAGTATGAGCTCACTTAACTGTAAGTCGCTCTCGATAAGGGCGTCTGCTAAATGACGTTAAATGTAAAAAGTATAAATTGGCTTTTAGATGTTAGTTTGACCTGCTAGTGCAGGCTGCAATATTGCTACAATGCTGTATTATGTGTTGCTGCCATGCTATGTTTCTTAGGTCTCTCTTTATGTAGTGTTGTGGTGTCCCTCTTGTCGTGATGTGTGTTTTTGTTCTATATTTTTATTTTATTTCAAATTTTTAATCCCAGCCCCGTCCCCGCAGAAGGCCTTTTGGTAGGCCGTCATTGTAAATAAGAATTTGTTCTTAACTGACTTGCCTAGTTAAATAAAGGTGAAATAAAAATAAATTACTAAATGTAGCTAACATTTAGATAGTTAATCCAGAGATTTTTTCCTTTTGACTTGATACGGCAGTCTCGTCCAGATCATCATCAGCATTTGTAGTTCTTTGATAGCCACATTAGCAGCTAATTAGCGTTTAATTTTTATTATTTTTATTTTTTTTTGGGGGGGGGGGGGGGGGGGGGTAAATACAGGTGAATATATTGATAAAAGTGAACTTGTCCTAGAGAGAATTACATGGTTATCAAAAATGTCACCTTATGTCTACCAGATGCACATGCGTTTTGCCATATGTTGTTTTTACCGGATGTCTAGTCTGCATTTTTCCTACTTGATGCACATGTGCTTCGCAAGGCAGCAGAACAGTTTGCAGAATGGAGAAGACTATTTTCGCCCTGTTCGAACAAAGCTAATAATTAGAACAGATGGAAGTTATTCTACTATCGACCTACTGGTGTCATAGGCTGGCAGAGCTACCAACAGACTGGCGCGCACAAGGGCGCATTACAACAATGAATCAATTTTATTTCTACAGTGCATTCGGAAAGTATTCAGACCCTCTGACTTTTTCCACATTTTGTTATGCTACAGCCTTATTCTGAAATGGATTAAATAAATACAAATGTGCTCATCAATCTACACACAATACCCCATAATGACAAAGCGAAAACAGGTTTTTAGAAGTCTTGATAAATAAAAAACAGAAATACCTTATTTACATAAGTATTCAGAGCCTTTATGAGACTCGAACTTGAGCTCCATTGCATCCTGTTTCCATTGATCTTCCTTGAGATGTTTCTACAACTTAATTGGAGTCCACCTGTGGTAAACCCAATTGATTGGACATGATTTGGAAAGGCACACGCCTGTGTATATAAGGTCCCACAGTTGACCGTGCATGTCAGAGCAAAAACCAAGCCATGAGGTCGAAGGAATTGTCCGTAGAGCTCTGAGACAGGATTGTATCGAGGCACAGATCTGGGGAGGGGTACCAAAACATGTCTGCAGCATTGAAGGTCGCCAAGAACACAGTGGCCTCCATCATTCTTAAATGGAAGACGTTTGGAACCACCAAGACTTTTCCTAGAGCTGGCTGCCCGGCCAAACTGAGCAATCGAGGAGAAGGTCCTTGGTCAGGGAGGTGACCAAGAACCCGATGGTCACTCTGACAGAGCTTCAGAGTTCCTCTGTGGAGATGGGAGAACCTTCCAGAAGGACAACCATCTCTGCAGCACTCCACCAATCAGACCTTTTTATGGTAGTGGCCAGATGGAAGCCACTCCTCAGTAAAAGGTACATGAAACCTCGCTTGGAGTTTGCCAAAAGGCACCTAAAGGACTCTCAGACCATGAGAAACAAGTTTCTCTGGTCTGATGAAACCAAGATTGAACTCTTTGGCCTGAATTCCAAGCGTCACGTCTGGAGGAAACCAGGCACCACTCATCACCTGGCCAATACCATCCCTACGGTGAAGCATGGTGGTGGTGGCAGCATCATGCTGTGGGGATGTTTTTCAGCGGCAGGGACTGGGAGACTAGTCAGGATTGAGGGAAAGCTGAACGGAGCGAAGTACAGAGATCCTTTATGAAAATCTGCTCCAGAGCGCTCACGACCTCCGCCTGGGAAGAAGGTTCACCTTCCAACAGGACAACGACCCTAAACACACAGCCAAGACAACGCAGGAGTGGCTTCGGGACAAGTCTCTGAATGTCCTTGAGTGGCCCAGCCAGAACCCGGACTTGAACGCGATCTAACATCTTTGGAGAGACCTGAAAAATAGCTGTGAAGCGATGCTCCCCATCCAACCTGACAGAGCTTGAGAGGATCTGCAGAGAAGAATGGGAGAAACTCCCCAAATACAGGTGTGCCAAGCTTGTAGCATCATACTCGAGGCTGTAATCGTTGCCAACGGTGCTTCAACAAAGTACTGAGTAAAGGGTCTGAATACTTATCTAAGTATTTCAGTTTATTGTATTTTTTATTTTTGCAAAAATTTCTACACCTGTTTTTGCTTTGTCGTTATGGGGTATTGTGTGTAGATTGAGGGGAAAGAAACAATTTAATCAATTTTAGAATAAGGCTGTAACGGAACAAAAGTGAAGGGGTCTGAATACTTTCCGAATGCACTGTATATCAGAACAAGTGTCAGGGCTGCAGTTTTTAAGGCTTTTACACTGGTGGTTCCAACTTCCCAGGGATACTTTTTACCATCTCTGCAAATACCAAAGTTGCCAATAAAGTACTATATACTGTACCCACGTTATATTTATTCATTTTGGGTAATTTTATTCTTGAAACATTCCAAAGAATATACCATACTGTCAGTTTCCATTCTCTGTTTCATTCAAAATGTATGTAGTTCTTTTATCTTTTTTTTTTTCTTACTGTCTCCTAGCACATTGACTCTTGGCATCTTAAGAGGGCGGTATTTGGCATGTGTTGGCCGGGACTCACTAAGTCAGGAGGACAGACAGTTGATGAAGAGAGTGGTAGAGGAGGAACTGATGAGGATGCAGGTAAAGACGTTTGTGAGTAGATACGATTTTGTCAATCAATACATCTCCCTCAGACCTGGATCAAATTGGCAAGTACTTTAATTGCACTCAATTTAGTTTGCCCAGTACAATGGAACCAATTGAATAGTCTCAAAAGTGCAAAGCCTAAACCTAAATCAAGCAGACCGCAAGTACTTTCACGTGTAGGCTATGTCTATGTATTTGTAAGTAAAGATTTTGACATATATTTGACCCAGAACTGCTGTCCTACCATCTTTCACAGTTTGATGCCCCATAACTTTTGATAAAATACTTCCTTTCTCCATTGAGTACACACAGATCTGAAGTGATTAGGTGAAAAGATGCCCGCTACAGATCTTGGGTGGTCAGGAGTGTGGAAGGAAGAATTAAGTACATTCCGTTCTTAAATACACTCAACAAAAATATAAACACAACATGGAAAGTGTTGGTCCCATGTTTCATGAGCTGAAAAAAGGATCCCAGAAGTTTTACAGACCCACAAAAAGAGTATTTCTCACATTTTGTGCACAAATTTCTTTACATTCGTGTTAGTGAGCATTCCTCCTTTGCCAAGATAATCCATCAACTTGACAGGTGTGGCATATCAAGAAGCTGATTAAACAGTGTGATCATTACACAGGTGCACCTTGTGCTGGGTACAATAAAAGGGTACTCTAAAATGTGCAGTTTTGTCACACAACACAATGCCACAGATGTCTCAAGTTTTGAGGGAGTGTGCAATTGGCATGCTGACTGCAGGAATGTCCACCAGAGCTGTTGCACAAGAATGTAATATTAATTTCTCTACCGTAAGCTGCCTCCAACATCGTTTTGGAGAATTTCGCAGTACGTCCAACCGGCCTTACAACCGCAGACCATGTGTAACCATGCCAGCCCAGGACCTCCACATCTGGCTTCCTCACCCGGACAGCTGATGAAACTGTGGGTTTGCACAACTGAAGAATTTCTGCACAAACTGTCAGAAGCTCATCACCTCGTCTCACCAGGGTCTTGACCTGACTGCAGTTTGTCATCGTAACTGACTTCAGTGGGCAAATGCTCACCTTCGATGGCCATTGGAACGCTGGAGAAGTGCGCTCTTCGTGGATGAATAGCGGTTTCAACTTTTACCTGGCAGCGTGTATAGCGTCGTTTGAGCGATTGAATTTTATCGATGGCAATTTTAATGCATTGTTGTGCCATTCATCCGCCTCCATCACTTCATGTTTCAGCAGGATAATACACGGCCCCATGTCACAAGGATCTGTACACAATTCCTGGAAGCTGAAAATGTCCCAGATCTTCGATGGCCTGCATACTCACCAGACGTGTCATCCATTGAGCATGTTTGGGATGCTCTGGATCGACGTGTACGACAGCGTGTTCCAGTTCCCGCCAATGATATGGGACAACATTCCACAGGCCACAATCAACAGCCTGATCAACTCTGTGCGAAGGACATGTGTCGCGCTGCATGAGGCAAATGGTGGTCACGCCAGACTGACTGGTTTTCTTATTTTATTTTTAGGTATCTGTGACCAACAGATGCATGTCTGTATTCCCAGCCATGTGAAATCCATAGATTAGGGCCTAATGAATTTACAGTGCATTCGGAAAGTATTCAGACCCTTTGACTTTTTCCACAATTTGTTACGTTACAGCCATATTCTAAAATGGATTAGGTCGTTTTTTTCCCCCCTCAATCTACATACACTACCCCATATTGACAAAGAAAAAACTGGTTCAACGGTTCTATAGAGTTTCTTCGGAGAAGCTGCGTTGTCTGGATGCTGAGGTCAGGTACATGCTGGAGAGTAAAATATGTTTGCCAATAAAAAAATAAAAAATAAAGGTCTGAAAAAACATTTACATAAGTATTCAAACCCTTTGCTCAGTACTTTGTTGAAGCGCCTTTTGCAGCGATTACATCCTCGAGTCTTCTTGGGGATGACGCTACAAGCTTGGCACACCTGTATGGGCGGCAGGTAGCTTAGTGGTTAAGAGCGTTGTGCCAGTAACTGAAAGGTCGCTGGTTCTAATCCCCGAGCCGACTAGGTGAAAAATCTGTCTGTGCCCTTGAGCTTAACCCTAATTGCTCATGTAAGTCGCTCTGGATAAGAGCGTCTGCTAAATGACTAAAATGTAAATGTATTTGGGGAGTTTATCCCATTCTTCTCTGCAGATTCTCTCAAGCTCTGTCATGTTGGATGGAGCGTCACTGCACAGCTATTTTCAGGTCTATCCCGATGTGTTCAATCAGGTTCAAGTCCGAGCCCTGGCTGGGCCACTCAATTCAGAGAATTGTCCTGAAGCCACTCCTGCGTTGTCTTGGCTGTGTGCTTAGGATCGTTGTCCTGTTGGAAGGTGAACCTTTCTCCCCAGTCTCAGGTCCTGAGCGCTCTGGAGCAGGTTTTCATGAAGGATCTCTCTGTACTTCGCTCTGTTAATCTTTCCCTTGATCCTGACTAATCTCCAAGTCCCTGCCTCTGAAAAACATTCCCACAGCATCATGCTGCCACCACCATGCTTCACGGTAGGGATGGTGCCAGGTTTCCTCCAGATGTGACACTTGGCATTCAGGCCAAAGAGTTCAATCTTGGTTTCATCAGACCATAGAATCTTGTTTCTCATGGTCAGTATTTAGGTGCTTTTTGGCAAACTCCAAGCGGCCTCTCATGTGCCTTTTACTGAAGAGTGGCTTCCGTCTGGCCACTCTACCATAAAGGCCTTATTGCTGGAGTGCTGCAGAGGTGGTTGTCCTTCTGGAAGGTTCTCCCATCTCCACAGAGGAACTCTGGAGCTCTGTCAGTGACCATCGGGTTCTTGGTCACTTCCCTGACGAAGCCCCTTCTCCCCCGATTGCTCAGTTTGGCCGGGCGGCCAGCTCTAGGAAGAGTCTTGGTGGTTCCAAACTTCTTCCATTTAAGAATGATGGAGGCCACTGTGTTCTTGGGGGACCTTCAATGCTGCAGACATTTTTTGGTACCCTTCCCCAGATCTGTGCCTCGACACAATCCTGTCTTGGAGCTCTACTATTCCTTCGACCTCATGGCTTGGTTTTTGCTCTGACATGCACTGTCATCTGTTGGACCTTATATAGACAGGGGTTTGCCTTCCCAAATCATGTCCAATCAATTGAATTTACCACAGGTGGACTCCAATCAAGTTGTAGGAACATCTCAAGGATGATCAATGAAACATGATGCACCTGAGCTCAATTTAGAGTCTCATAGCAAAGGGTCTAAATACTTTTGTAAAGTAAGGTATTTCTGTTTTTTAATTTTAAATGTGCAAACATTTCATAAAATCTGTTTTCGCTTTGTCATTATGGGGTGTTGTGTGTAGATTGAGGAAAATGAATTTAATCCATTTTAGAATAAGGCTGTAATTTAACAGTGGAAAATGGCTAGGGGTCTGAATACTTTCCCAATGCACTATTTCAATTGACTGATTTCCTTACGAACTGTAACTCAATCAAATCTGTAATTGTTGTGTTTTTATATTTTTGTTCAGTGTAGTTTACTTCGGATGAGAACTCACTACAGTTTTCCAGTCCCAATTAAATTACATTCATTTTCATTGCTCCTGGTAGGTGCATGGTCCGTTTCGGTGCATGCTGTCACGACAGTCCCGAGCTGTTGCATTTTTCAGGAGTTATCTCGATTCGAGCTGGTCTCGGTTATAATCTTACCTGTGACCTCTGCCCCTCTCTCAGGACAGTGACAGTAGTGAAAATGAAACCATTCTCGACGTTACCCCGACACCTCGCCACAACAAGCGGAAGAGGGGTGAGGAGGAGGAGAAAGGAGGCAGGACCAACGCAGATGGATCCAAGGCAAAGAGATCTAGACTTCAGTCGGCCCAATCAGGTAATTTCCAATAGTAGTGGCTCTTGGGTGAAATTCTCCTCATGCAAAACAGCACAGAAATAGTCTGCAGTACTATTGATTGTATTTCTATATATATTAAACTTTTTGTTTTAAGATGTCTGTGAAAAGGTATATTATTAATTAACCTGAGTGAAAATGTGTTGTGACTTGTCCACAACTCAACATAAATAGATGGGACTTCACACATAATATACGTTTTTAATTATAGTGGTGCAAAGAAAATGCTGCCCTTTGTCATAGTGAAAGCCCACAGTGTGTGCTGCAGTTAATATTGCTGGTCAAATATTAACTTGAGACACACATTGCCTATTATGAACCATGCCTATTATGAAGTATTGAGACTCATCCCATGATTTGTTTTAAAGAATTAAGACTTACCATAGAATATTCTATGATGGCCACTGTATTTGAAGCAGTATTTTCTCCAAATCTAATTTAGCGATTTGATAAAAGTAAAATAAAATCTCTTTCAAACAATTTAAGATTCCCCAGATTCTGGAATAGAGAGAGTGGGAAATGGAGAAAGGCAGAGAGAGGAAGAAGATGAGGAGGAGGAGAAGGACATGGGAAGTGATGTAGAGGATGATCAAGTTTCCCAAATCGGCACCAAGAAAAAAAAGGGGGGACACAAAGGAGTACACAATGGTGGGAAGACGGAAATTAGCTCAGAGAGTGAGGTTGAGATCAAAATGGTGAATCGGAGGAAGAGAGAACAAGACTCTGAAGTTGAGGAGAACAAAAAGAAGAAACAAGGAGATGAAACCAACAAACAGGAAAAGGACAATGTCAATTCAGACAGGGACTCTGAAGAGGACAAAAAACAGAAAAGGAAAAGAAGAACGGGAGGAAAAGAAAATGTGGATGTGAAAGTGCAGAGCAAGGGTTTGAAAGGGAACAGAAGGAGGGAGAGTGGAAATGAGGAAAAGGGAAAACCATTGCAAGAAAGAGTGCAGGTTGTTGGGAGTGACTCGGAGCGCATTGGAGAGGCCGAAGTAATGGAACAGAAAAGGGTAAAAAGACAAAGAAATGACAACGACTCCAGGTCAGAGAGTGAGGGAGAAAATAATGCATCTTCAGAGGAAGCCAGCGGGGGAGAGGGTGAGTTATGAAGTGGTGTGTTCATGTGCATGCATAATGTGTCCTAGTAAAGGCCCAAACATAGTGAAAAATCCAGGGATAGGATACCATTTATGAAACCCTAATGACAAGGGTTCAAGTAATGTACTATTTCCCCCTCCCTAAAGTATTTTTATTTTATTTTTTTCTCAGAGGAAACCAAGGAAGTGATGGCTAAGACAAAGGATGAGCCAGCCCAGGACTCCGACTCTGGCTCATCCCTCCCATCATTGGAGGACGAAAAGGAAAGTGAGGAGGTCAGGCCAGAACAGGTGAAAAAGAGGAAGCCTGTGGCTAAGCAGCCAATAAAGGGCGAGGGCAGTGAGAGTGCATCCAAAGGAGGAAAGGTGAGGCCAACTCAAGCACACAGTAGGAACATAGGTAGTTGCCAACACATTTTCACATTCACAATGTATGCTGCATCAGACCTGGTTCAAATACTCAAGTAGAGCTGAAGGTATTGGATCAATATAATACGCAGTATGGTGAAATTACGGGCCAAAGGCAAGGTGGAGCTACTACTATATTGCCCATGCGTCGCCAAATCCCTTCTGATCTATTCAAAGTGTTGCCTGGAAACCCGACGTTGAATTCTATAGAATTCTACGTTGGGCAGAAATTAGCGTTTTGAATCCGGAAAGTTTCCCATCACGACCTCTACAAGACAATGTTAAATACAATTTTATTTGTAATGATACTTTCCTGTGGATAGTTTGTCTCACATTCCTACCACCAAAAGGACCAACCACACAGACAACCAGTAAAGTATGTTAAAATATAATTTTATTCAACATTCTGGTTTGTAGAGGTTGTGAGAGGAAACTTTCCTGATGTAAACGCTAATTTCTGCCAGACGTACAATTCAATGTTTCCAGGCAATACAAAGTGTAGAGGCAAGGGGCTCTTTCTGGACTCTGCCTTAGCCTAATCCTGGAAATATGTGCTCCATCCATGTAACATGAAGGACAACGAGGCGAAGGCGGTGGCCAGGCTGAGGCGTTACATCGCCCTCTGTGGTGTGAGACGGAACTACAAGAAGCTCCTGGATGGCTGCCGCTCCATCAAGTCAAAGGTGGCTGTGCTGAAGAGGGAGCTTGAAGAACTTGGTGTCAAAGGTATTTGGGGGGGCGGGGGCAGGGGCAATGAATTCTAATTCTCTCATTTGGTCCATATGCCCTCGCTCACTCCACCAAATTGAAAATATTTCTAAGGACTGGATAGGTTGTACACAATAGCTCCATGTAGCCTTTCAATTGGTTAATGTGTGAATCCGCTATATTGTTTACACCTATCTGATGCTTTTAAAGTCCCGTTTATACCTGGCGCTAACATGTGTCCTTTGTCCTGATCTTGTCGACATTCTGATTGTGCCCACATTTTCAGACCTACACATGGTATAAAAATGTGTCTTTTATCCGTCCACTGTGCCCGCATTGTGACCAGATTTCCAGGTCCTTGCCTGTATGCATAATTGTTTTAATAATATTAATTTATTTATTTTAAGACTCCTATTGATGCCATAAGTCAATGGTGCCACCTGTCAATGATTTTGAGGGTGGGATAATGATAATAATAATATAATATATTATTTATTATTATAATGATGATTTTAAATGGTTTCACTTTCCAGATGCGTCTACACTTGTAAGTTATCCAGACATGATGCATGCCTGACTACCTCTGAAGGTGATCTGGAAGATCTGATCACAATCAGATCACAATGCGTCTTTTAATCGTCTACACCTGTATAGAAATTTGGGGAGAATCAGAATGTGGACAAGATTAGTACAAAGGACACATTAGCACCAGGTATAAAAGGGGCTTATATCTGTGAGGTGGAGTGAGCCATGGTGGCATCGCTGGACAGTGGAAAACTTGCTGGGAACTAATGGCTTCTGACTCTCCCCTCAGGTCAGCCTTCTATAGAGAAGTGTAAGAATGCCAGACTTAAGAGAGAGGAGGCTCAGGAGTTGGCAGACCTAGATGTCAGCAACATCATAACCACAACAGGTGACATTTTCGCCCACTCCTAAATCAACTGCTTTCCTCTAGATCTTAGCTGATTGCATACCTGACGATGCATTCTGATTGGCTAGGTGGATGTTTTTCTGTTCAATTGCTTTAATAATCTTATCCAATCCTCTCCATCTTTGTTTCAACTTTTGGTACAAGGAATAAGTGTTAGAGCACAAACTGTAGATCTGAAATCAAACTGTAGATCAAATGGACAATAAAGTAAATAAAGTTAGACTGGTTGTAAAAAAAACAGCGGGTGTCCGCGGGTCCTTAGTCTTAAGTTCATTTATCTGATTTTTAAAGGCCTTAAGTCTTGTCATAAATTCAATTTTCCAAGGTCTTCGAACATGCGATGGAGATGACTACATTGTTTCCGTTATATTGTGCCACTGCTTAATTGTTGCCACTATTTATTTTTTTACATCAAATAATACTTGAGGCGCACTTTCAAGATGTTAGAGAGCCCTCCACATGTGCACCTCTGTGTGTGCACATAATGTGTGTGTGCGAGTCTGGCCATTGCCAGAGAAGAGATCAAGGTAGCCTATACAATATGATAGACCACAACATTAACTAGGTATGTGACCTCTTACCGAATACATTTTGCTTACGTCGGTGATTAGGCTACACAACGTTCCTGCAGATTTTTTTGGGTTCTAAAACCATTATTTGGTCAACAGTAAGGTGCATTAACCTGCTTCCTGCTATGAAAGTATCTGCCCCTATTTCGCTTCTGCCTCTCACTCCCGCTCCCCCTTTGCACACAGAGTAAAGGGAGAGACGCATTCTGATAAGCGCAACCATTGAACAATATTTCAAAATGTAATTGCAGGAAAGTTTTTTTTAAAACAATGACTGTTACTATTAAAGAGGAGTATAACAATAATTATTTCTTAACTGTCAATATAGAGGAAGTTACACCACTTTACCAACAGAGTATGTAATTGAGATAGGGCTGACCCCATTTAGTCAACTGGTCGATTGTTTGGTCGATAGGCAGTTGGTGACAGAGATTTCTTTAGTCGAGCAGTAGCAAAAAAAAGTATATATATACAGTGGCTTGCGAATGTATTCACCCCCCTTGGCATTTTTCCTATTTTGTTGCCCTACAACCTGGAATTAATATGGATGTTTTGGGGGTTTGCATCATTTGATTAACACATCATGCCTACCACTCTGAAGAGGCAAAATATAAATAAGACAAAAACAGAACTTGAGCGTGCATATCTATTCACCCCCCCCCCCCCCCCCCCCTCAATACTTTGTAGAGCCACCTTTTGCAGCAATTACAGCTGCAAGTCTCTTGGGGTATGTCTCTATAAGCTTGGCACATCTAGCCACTGGGATGTTTGACCATTCTTCAAGGCAAAACTGCTCCAGCTCCTTCAATTTGGATGGGTTCTGCTGGTGTACAGCAATCTTTAAATCATACCACAGATTCTCAATTGGATTGAGGTCTGGGCTTTGACTAGGCCATCCAAGACATTTAAATGTTTCTCCTTAAACCACTCGAGTGTTGCTTTAGCAGTATCCTTAGGGTCATTGTCCTGCTGGAAGGTGAACCTCCGTCCCATTCTCAAATCTCTGGAAGACTGAAACAGGTTTCCCTCAAGAATTTCCCTGTATTTAGCGCCATCCATCATTCCTTCAATTCTGTCCAGTTTCCCAGTCCCTGCCGATGAAAAACATGGTGTTGATGGTGTTCTCGGGGTGATGGTTTGTGCCATACATACTGTAAGTTGCTCTGGATAAGAGCGTCTGCTAAATGACTAAAATGTAAATGCATAGCGTTTTCCTTGATGGCCAAAAGCTCAATTTTAGTCTCATCTGACCAGAGTACCTTCTTCCATATGTTTGGGGAGTCTCCCACATGCCTTTTGGCGAACACCAAACGTGTTTGCTTATTTTTGTCTTTAAGCATGGCTTTTTTCTGGCCACTGTTCAGTAAAGCCCAGCTCTGTGGCGTATACGGCTTAAAGTGGTCCTATTGACAGATACTCCAATCTCCGCTGTGGAGCTTTGCAGCTCCTTCAGGGTTATCTTTGGTGTCTTTGTTGCCTCTCCTTGCCTTGTCCGTGAGTTTTGGTGGGCGGCCCTCTCTTGGCAGGTTTGTTGTGGTGCCATAGTCTTTCAATTTTTTAATAATGGATTTAATGGTGCTCCGTGGGATGTTCAAAGTTTCTGATATTTTTTTATAATCCAACCCTGATCTGTACTTCTCTGCAACTTTGTCCCTGACCTGTTTGGAGAGCTTCTTGGTTTTCATGGTGCCGCTTGCTTGGTGGTGCCCTTTGCTTAGTGGTGTTACAGACTCTGGAGCCTTTCAGAACAGGTGTACAGTGAGGGGAAAAAAGTATTTGATCCCCTGCTGATTTTGTACGTTTGCCCCCTGACAAAAATTATCAGTCTATAATTTTAATGGTAGGTTTATTTGAACAGTGAGAGACAGAATAACAACAAAAAAATCCAGAAAAACGCATGTCAAAAATGTTATAAATTGATTTGCGCTGAGATTAGGAGCACACTCTTAAAAGGAGTGCTCCTAATCTCAGCTTGTTACCTGTATAAAAGACACCTGTCCACAGAAGCAATCAATCAATCAGATTCCAAACTCTCCACCATGGCCAAGACCAAAGAGCTCTCCAAGGATGTCAGGGACAAGATTGTAGACCTACACAAGGCTGGAATGGGCTACAAGACCATCGCCAAGCAGCTTGGTGAGAAGGTGACAACAGTTAGTGCGATTATTCACAAATGGAAGAAACACAAAAGTACTGTCGATCTCCCTCGGCCTGGGGCTCCATGCAAGATCTCACCTCGTGGAGTTGCAATGATCATGAACGATGAGGAATCAGCCCAGAACTACACAGGAGGATCTTGTCAATGATCTCAAGGCAGCTGGGCCATAGTCACCAAGAAAACAATTGGTAACACACTACGCCGTGAAGGACTGAAATCGCGCTGCAGGATTTCAGTCATTCACGGCGTAGTGTGTCCCCCTGCTCAAGAAAGCACATATACAGTGAGGGGGGAAAAGTATTTGATCTCCTGCTGATTTTGTACGTTTGCCCACTGACAAAGACATGATCGGTCTATAATTTTAATGGTAGGTTTATTTGAACATTGAGAGACAGAATAACAACAACAAAAATCCAGAAAAACGCATGTCAGAAATGTTATCAATTGATTTGCATTTTAATGAGGGAAATAACTATTTGACCCCTCTGCAAAACATGACTTAGTACAGTGGGGAAAAAAAGTTTTTAGTCAGCCACCAATTGTGCAAGTTCTCCCACTTAAAAAGATGAGAGAGGCCTGTAATTTTCATCATAGGTACACATCAACTATGACAGACAAAATGAGAGAAAAAAAATCCAGAAAATCACATTGTAGGATTTTTGATGAATTTATTTGCAAATTATGGTGGAAAATAAGTATTTGGTCAATAACAAAAGTTTCTCAATACTTTGTTATATACCCTTTGTTGGCAATGACACAGGTCAAACATTTTCTGTAAGTCTTCACAAGGTTTTCACACACTGTTGCTGGTATTTTGGCCCATTCCTCCATGCAGATCTCCTCTAGAGCAGTGATGTTTTGGGGCTGTCGCTGGGCAACACAGACTTTCAACTCCCTCCAAAGATTTTCTACGGGGTTGAGATCTGGAGACTGGCTAGGCCACTCCAGGACCTTGAAATGCTTCTTACGAAGCCACTCCTTCGTTGCCCGGGCGGTGTGTTTGGGATCATTGTCATGCTGAAAGACCCAGCCACGTTTCATCTTCAATGCCCTTGCTGGTGGAAGGAGGTTTTCATTCAAAATCTCACGATACATGGCCCCATTCATTATTTCCTTTACACGGATCAGTCGTCCTGGTTCCTTTGTAGAAAAACAGCCCCAAAGCATGATGTTTCCACCCCCATGCTTCACAGTAGGTATGGTGTTCTTAGGATGCAACTCAGCATTCTTTGTCCTCCAAACACGACGAGTTGAGTTTTTACCGAAAAGTTATATTTTGGTTTCATCTGACCATATGACATTCTCCCAATCCTCTTCTGGATCATCCAAATGCACTCTAGCAAACTTCAGACGGGCCTGAACATGTACTGGCTTAAGCAGGGGGACACGTCTGGCACTGCAGGATTTGAGTCCCTGGCGGTGTAGTGTGTTACTGATGGTAGGCTTTGTTACTTTGGTCCCAGCTCTCTGCAGAGAAATCAACTGTGGGAGCAATTATTAGGAAATGGAAGACATAAAAGACCACTGATAATCACCCTCGATCTGGGGCTCCACGCAAGATCTCACCCCGTGTGGTTCTGGGATTTTTGCTCACCGTTCTTGTGATCATTTTGACCCCACGGGGTGAGATCTTGCGTGGAGCCCCAGATCGAGGGAGATTATCAGTGGTCTTTTATGTCTTCCATTTCCTAATAATTGCTCCCACAGTTGATTTCTTCAAACCAAGCTGCTTACCTATTGCAGATTCAGTCTTCCCAGCCTGGTGCAGGTCTACAATTTTGTTTCTGGTGTCCTTTGACAGCTCTTTGGTCTTGGCCATAGTGGAGTTTGGAGTGTGACTGTTTGAGGTTGTGGACAGGTGTCTTTTTATACTGATAACAAGTTCAAACAGGTGCCATTAATACAGGTAACGAGTGGAGGACAGAGGAGCCTCTTAAAGAAGAAGTTACAGGTCTGTGAGAGCCAGAAATCTTGCTTGTTTGTAGGTGACCAAATACTTATTTTCCACCATAATTTGCAAATAAATTCATTAAAAATCCTACAATGTGATTTTCTGGATTTTTTTTTCTCAATTCGTCTGTCATAGTTGAGGTGTACCTATGATGAAAATTACAGGCCTCTCATCTTTTTAAGTGGGAGAACTTGCACAATTGGTGGCTGACTAAATAGTTTTTTTCCCCACTGTACTTGGTGGTAAAACCCTTGTTGGCAATCAGAGGTCAGATGTTTCTTGTAGTTGGCCACCAGGTTTGCACACATCTCAGGAGGGATTTTGTTC